AAGGTTGTTATATAGTAATTAAAATGATTTGGTATATAAATAAGTAAAGTAAATAAGGTTTAGAAACTCAAACTTAGTATTTAATTAGAGAATATGCTTAGTAATACTGTATACTTGTATACAGTGTATACAGAAATTTTTTACTTATGGTATACACATACACACGTAAATATACACCTGTATTTTCAGCTAAAATTTTCTCTTACAATACAGTGTGTAAGCATATATGCTGCAGGTGTATCTGTAAATTACACTACAGTGCAGAGCACTATCACTGAGGTGGTCCAAAGTGTTCCTGCCACCGTCTGCCAAGAGCAGCATTCGAAAAGTCCAACCTAGTTGAGAACGAGCAACCAAGAACTGCAATATTTTGAAGTCGCCAAAGTGTAGGTTGAAGATCAGGTGGAATCCACAAGAGCAATTCTCCCTTGCCTGTGCATATCCACCCATCCTCATCCATTTTCCAGTCAAATATAGGATCTATATTGAGAACAAAGTCAGAGACAAGATACCAGACATTGACTATTGAGCAAGAAGGAAGTCTGTCATCACACCCTTTATATTCCACATTCTGACCATACAATCTAAGGATCCAGAGATGACGCCTCTTCCATCTGACGAGAATGCAACAGAACAGACACCAGCTGTATGCCCTTCAAAAGGCACAAAGATGGCCTGTCCACTATGAGCGCCCCAGACACAGATTGTCCTGTCATCGGAGCCCGAGATAATGTGTGTTCCGTCGCAAGAGAAGGCAACTAGGGATCCGAGCGTACTGTATACGGGTACGACCGTACTCTGTACAGGCCTGTATGGGGTACAGTCGTAAAAATACGACCGTTTTTTGAGTTCTAGGACACAAGTACGGCTACGGTGTGTACTGTATACAGCCGTATACGGTAATACGCTTGTAAATACAAATTTAATATTATATTAATAGAAAGAAATAATTAATATACTTTAAAATCGTTAAAAAGGCCTATTATTACTTTATATGTATGTCCCTATCAAATTAGCACTTGTTATGCCCATTTTCATCAATATATTCAGTAAATCTGAAATATAATTTGTATGAAGTAATAAAAGATAGTCACATGACTAACTATTTTGAGAAGATAAATAATATAATATTAATACATTGACCCCAAGATTAGCTAAATTTGGTGTTTTTATGTATAAAAGGTATATTATAAGGTATGAGAAGAAATAGTTATAAATTGTGCTACACATGTTATTAATACTGAAAATCTTCTTTGGATGTCCGTACTCTGTATACGGCCGTATACGGCCATATTTGGCCTAATAGGATACAGGATACGGCCCGTTTTATACGAGCCGTATTTGGTGTCTCAAAGTCCGGTACGAGTACAGATCGTACCGTGACCGAAACGGGTCGTAACCGTACTGTACGGTACGATTCAGATCCCTAAAGGCAACTGACGAAACTCTGCCTGTATGCCCATTGAAAGGTCCAGCAACGACCTGTCCACTCTCGACATTCCAAATGAAAATATTCTGGTCAGCAGAACCGGAGACAATACGTGTGCCGTCGGACGAGAAAGCCACTGAGCAAACCTGATCTTTGTGTCCTATCAAGAGCCTGGAAATGATTTCGCCACTTTTAACGTCCCAGACAATGATTGTTGTATCATCGGAACCAGAGACGACGTGTCTCCCATCAGGCGAGAAAGCAACAGAGTAAACCCAGTCTTCATGCCCTTTGAAAGGACCGGAAATGGTCTGTCTGGTCGCGATATCCCAGATTCGGAGTGTTTTGTCAGATGAGCCGGAAGCAACACGTGTTCCATCCACGGACCAGAATCTACACCCAGCCTTCGTGCCCTTCGAAAGGACCAGAAATGGCAAACGTGTTGTGTCTGGGTTGCGTGATAATACGGTCCGAATCTGGGACGCGGAAAGTGGACACACAGTCTCTGCGCCTTTCGAAGGACACTCAGACCGGGTCTCCTCTGTTGCCTGCTCGCCGGATGGAAGGCATGTCGCGTCGGGCTCCTGGGATCGAACGATCCGTGTGTGGGACATTGAAAGTGGAAATATAGTCAGGCGAGATAGCAACAGAAGTTACTTCAGCAGTACGTCCTTCAAAATCTCCAGAAACGGCCTGAACACTTTCAGCATCCCAGATTCGAATCGTATTGTTGTTGGAGCCTGAGACGACACGGGATCTGTTGGGAGAGAACGCAACAGACCGTACCCAGTTAGTGTGGCCTTCAAAAGGACCGGAAACAACCTGCCTGCTTTCAATATCCCATATTCGAACTGTCTTATCATGTGAACCGGAGGCGATGCTTTTGCCGTCGGGCGAGAAAGCGACGGAAGTGACTGGCTCGGTATGTCCTTCAAAAGACTCGGAAATACATTCTCCGCTCTGAGCGTCCCAGATTCGAATTGTCCTGTCTGCAGAGCCTGATGCAACACGTGTACTGTCACCAGAGAAAGCGACTGACCAGACACTGCCAGTGTGACCTCTAAGAGGGCTACAACTTAAGCGGCCTGTCCACTCTCAATCTCCCAAATTTGAATCGTCTTGTCTGCTGAACTAGAGACAATGTGCTTTCCGTTGGGAGAGAGCACAATAGACAATACAGCGCCTTTATGCCCCTTGAAATGCTTGACGGCCTGTCTGCTCTCAACTAGTGCTCTGCACCGTAGCATAATTTACGGATACGCCTGCAGCATATATGCTTACGCACTGTATTGTAAGAGAAAATTTTAGCTGAAAATACAGATGTATATTTACATGTGTATGTGTATACCATAAGTAAAAAATTTCTGTATACACTGTATACAAGTATACAGTATTACTAAGCATATTCTCTAATTAAATACTAAGTTTGAGTTTCTAAACCTTATTTACTTTACTTATTTATATACCAAATCATTTTAATACTATATAACAACCTTGTTTAACTTAAAAAGTACTAGTATGAGTACTACAGTTAGTATGGTTACTATAGTACATTACATGAAGGTTTAGAGTGTTTATGTGATATTAACTCACAACACTCAACTGTCTTATTTCTGTGTGTAAACAGTACTATAATACATTTTCTTAGCTCAGTAATATTAAGCATTTGTTTTGAAAGATGATAGTATACTTTTATAAGTTATTTTAATGTAAAGTATCTTATTATATTTGGCACAGTGTATATACTGTATATACTGTATACAGAAGTAATATATTGTTACAGTTCTCTACTCTTGTACCTTTAGTTCTGAGGACTTCTGTCCTTTAGGAGTACTGTCTATAAACTATATACAGGCTGACTCTTACTATTACTCTTCCTTACTTTATTATTCTGTTCCTTTAACTACTCTTTCATTCTTTGTTCATTCTATAGTCTCTTACTCTTTGTCTATCCCTTCATTCCTTGTACCTTTATCTTTGACCTTCCTTTCTTTCATTCTTCATAGCTCATCATTCTTAATAGCTCATATTCCCTGAGTACTCTTGTATAGTTTAGTATATATAAGTGTACAAGATTAGACTGGTTTAGTAGTCTTAATTTTGTCTACTCTAGGTAGTCCTATACTCTTAGACTTACTCTATACACTCTACTCTTGTCTTACTCTCTCTCTATGTCTGTTCTACAAGTTCTAACTATGTTTTAGTACTTACATTCTGTATTTCTATTGTGTAAGATAGTTATAGCCTGAGTCCCCTTACTAAGCCTTTGAATCCTCTCTACACTATTACTGACATTAGATTAAGACTACTTATTACTACTCTACAACTCTCCTACATTTTAGACATTAGTACTTACTATTGTATTAATCTCTTTTCTTTGTCCTAACCCTTTTACATTTTTAAATTTTAAACTTTTTAAACCCTTTTAAACTTATACTACCCTTCTTCTATTCATTACTCTTTTTAGTTTAGTGTTAATTCCTTTATAGTATAAACATAGACCCTTCTATACTAACTACCACCCTTACTGTTTTACTAAATTAGTAGTTGTAAGTAGACTTAGCTTAATATGTATAAACCTCTATCTAAGAGACTTTTACTAACTATGTACCTCTAACCCTCTTAGAACCTGTTCTAATCATTCTAAAAGTTATAACCTGTTTTAGAAAGAAAGTACATATAGTCTACCCTTTAGACTTTAATAAGTAGTACTTTAAAGACTTTTAGTACTAAATTAAACTATATATAGTTACTACTTTAACTAATCTATTCTTAGATCTCAATTGTGTCTTATTTGTCCTCTCCTTTATAAAGGAAGGTAATGTAGCCACCTGAGTTTAGAACTAGATTGAAGAACATTAGATTAGAAGTCTAATCTAACTTCAGAACAATAAGTTGTATTCAGAATTTATAAGACAGTTTATACTTCCTTTATTAATTCAAATAAGAAGTACAATACACAGAACAAGCTTGTATCTCTGTAACAGAACAAACATTCTACTAATACTTTCTTTCAGAAGTTTAATATTCTAGCCTGAAAGACAGGATTCACACTTAAGTTTAATAATGTTCTTATTAGAATGTTTAAGAAAGCTCTTCACCTAAAACTAGTTAATAAGATTCTTAGAATAATACTAGAACTGATTACTTATACTAATTAGAAGACATACACTATTTCCTTTAACTAAGCTATAGTTTAAATATATTAAGTCTGTATAGAACACTTATACATGTGTTTGACTCTAACAGTTCTAAGCTCTTAGATTAATCTGTTTATAATTTGTAATCAATCTGTTCTAATAAACATTAGAGAAGTCTAAAAGTAAGGAATATACTTTACTTACAGAAAGTTAGAGTACTAAATTAAGAACTGTTTATAGAAGTAATAGTATATCTGTTAGGTTATTAGAGTAATAATAAGTAATAAGTAGGATTTGTAGTAAGAAGCCTTTTCTACAAATTCAGAAGTCACTTTAGAACTTCTAAACTCTAACTATATACTTTAGGATTTTATAGAGACCTAACAGTAAATACAGTACTAAAAGGTTATAACTCAGGTTTTTTAATAACTACTTTTAATTTAATAGACACTGTAGGATTAGAAGTAAATAAAGTAAGAAAAGTAGAAAAAGTAGAAAAAGTAAATTAACAAAATTATTTATTAAAAAGAAAAAAGTTGAAAACAAAAGTAGATAGTTCTCTTATTTCTTCTGATTCTTTTGATTCTTCTTTTCACACTTTATTCAAGTCTAAATTTACACAATCTAACCTGTTACTTTTACATTCTAAGATCTTAGAATGTTTAGAATACTACTTAGCCCTGTTTACTACTTAGTAGTTTGTTTATAGTATTAAGTAGGAATAGTCTCAGTTGAGTTTATAGTTAAGAATATAAGTCTGTCCTTGTTAAAAGAGAGAGGTTAATAAGGAAATGTTAGTATATATACTTACTCTCTTAAATAATAAGATTATACAAGCTGTACATTCTCTTTAGAACAAGTAGTAATTTATTAGAGAATACTCTAAATACTAACTCTAAGTCTCTATCCTTTTAGCTCTCTTCTTAGAATCTCTCCAGATCTGAATAATAGCTCTAGTAAATAGTAAATACACTAGTTTATACATTAATAAGGTCTTTGTATAGAAACACTATCTCTCTACTTAACACATTCTACTTCTAATTCTAGTATATAATGTAGACAGAACTCTAAACCAGAATAGTCAAATTACTAAGTTTGTCCAACTATAAATAACTATTTAGGATTATAAGGAAAGTATTGAGTTTAGAGTTACTAACCTTAGAAAGACAAATATCTTTATTAAATTTAAAGAGTTTAAAGCTTACAACCCTACTATTAACTAGTTAGAGTAAACACTTGTGTTTAATTAGTATTTTAAGTCTTACAACTATCTTATACTATTATACTAAGTAAATACAAATACTTCTAATGTTACTAACAGTTCTAATAAAGGTAACTAGTTGTTCTTCTTTAACTAGAATAAATATATAAATACATATTCTAGTTAAGGTAGAACAGAGTCAATCTAAAGAATGTTTAAGACAGAACTAGTTTAGAACCCTTTTAAAACAACTCTACTCTAGAACACACATAGACTTAGTCTACTAGATTTTGTCTAAGAGTTTTCTAAAGTCTTTAGTAAAGAGGAATTTGACTAACTTTCTAAACACTATCTCTAAGACTATATAATTAAATTAACTAAGAGTTTCTAACTTAAGGATTATAAAGTTTACCTACTCAACAGAGACAAGTAGGAGGTGCTTAACAAGTTCCTTTAGGAAAATCTTTAGAACAGTTAGATTCAACTCTTAAAGTCCTTTATAGTCTCCCCTTTCTTCTTTGTTAAAAAAAAAGATAGGAAGCTCTACCTAGTTTAGAATTATTATTGTCTTAATAAAGGTACTATTAAAAACAAGTACCTACTCTCTCTGATTCAGGAGCTTATTAATAAGACACATACATTTAGAGTTTTTACTAAGTTAGACATTTAATAAGAATATAATAATATTTGGATCTAAGACAGAAATGAGTAGAAGACTGTATTCTAAACTAATTATAGATTGTACAAACTGACTATAATATTCTTTAGACTAACTAACTTACTTACAATGTTCTAGTCATTTATGAATTACATTCTTACAGATCTAATTAACTTAGAGTATGTTAGTATGTATCTAAACAACATTCTAATCTTTACCTAAACAGTTGAGTATTATTACTAACTAATTTAAGTAGTTTTATAGTAGCTCTAAGATAATAAACTATTCCTCTAAGAAGTAAAGTATTCTTTTGTACAAGAGTTAGTAGATTATTTGAGCTTTGTAATTAGTAGAGAAGAGGTTTGTATGAATCTGGTAAAAGTAACTATAGTTTAGAACTAGTTATAATCTTAGAACCTGAAACAAGTCTAAGTGTTCTTTAGGTTTGTAAACTACTACTAATACTTTATTTAAGGCTTTAGTACTATTACCTAGCCTCTTTACAATCTTACTAGGAAAGATGTTCCTTAGTAATAGAGGGATTAGTAATAGTCTGTATTTAAGTCCCTTAAGTAGACTATTACTAGTAAGCCTGTATTAGTAGTTCTAACAGTTATAAACAAGTTTTAAGTTAAAGCTAACTCTTCTAACTTTATAAATAGAGTAGTACTGTTTTAGTTTATTGACAGAAAGTAGTGTCTAATAGTATTCTGATTAGAATCCCTCTCTATAACAGAACAGAACTACTTTATCTATAATAAGGAACTTTTTACAATTGTCTGTTCTCTAAAGGAGTAGTGTTAATATCTTCTTAGTATTATACAGAAGTTTGAGATTTAGAGTAATTATCTTAATCTCTAGTACTTTTAAGTGTTTTAGAAGCTTAACTACTATTAGGCCTACTAAATGTTAGAACTATAAAACTACAACTTTGTACTAACTTATAAACTTAGAACACAAATAATGAAAACTAATTTACTCTCAAGACAAGTAAGTTATAAAAGGAGAGAGAATAATAATAAAAATCTTGTTCTTCTAAACAATTCCTGTTTTACATTCAAAACAATCTAAGAGATCTGACTCAAATCTAAGAATGTTAACTTTGTCACTTATATATAGTAAGCTCTAAGACACACACAGAACTAAGTTATAGTAAAGTAGTTAGTGTTACAATTCTCTACTCCTATACCTTCAGTTTTAAGGGTTCTACACTCTTCTATACTAGAACTTAGGACTTCTATCCTTTAGAAGTACTATCTATAAACTATATGTGTACTAACTCTTACTACTACTCTTCCTTACTTTATTATTCTATTTCTTTAACTACTCCTTCATTCTTTGTTTATTTTATAGTCTTTTACTCTTTGTCTATCCCTTTATTCTTTGTACCTTTATCTTTAACATTCTCTTTCTTTCATTCTTTATAGCTTATCATTCTTAGTAACTTATACTCTCTGAGTACTCTTATATAGTTTAGTATATATAGGCATACAAGATTAGACTAGTTCTGTAGTTTTAATCTTGTCTACTCTAAGTAGTCTTATACTCTTAGGCTTACTCTATATACTCTACTCTTGTCTTACTCTCTCTCCCTACCTGTTCTGTAAGTTCTAACTATGTTCTAGTACTTACATTCTGTATTTCTGTTGTATAAGATAGTTATAGTCTGGGTCCCCTTACTAAGCCTTTAAGTCCCCTCTATACTGTTACTAATATTAGATTAAGACTACTTATTACTACCCTACAACTCTTCTACATTTTAAGTATTAGTACTTACTATTATGTTAATCTCTTTTCTTTGTCCTAACTCTTTTACATTTTTAAATTTTAAACTTTCTAAACCCTTTTAAACTTTTACTACCTTTCTTCTATTTATTACCCCTTTTAGTTTAGTACTAATTCCTTTATAGTATAAACATAGACTCTCTTACACTAACTACCACCCCTACTGTCCTGCCAGATTAGTAGTTATGAGTAGAACTAGCTTAATATGTATAGACCTCTATTTAAGAGGCCTTTACTAACTATATGCCTTCAGTCTCTTTAGAACCTGTTCTAATTATTCTAGAAGTTGTAACCTGTTTTAAAAAGAAAGTGTATGTAGCTTACCCTTCAGACTTTAATAAGTAATACTTTAAGGACTTCTAGTACTAAGTTAAACTATATGTGACTACTACTTTGACTAATCTATCCTCAAATCTTAATTATGTCCTATTTGTCCTCTCCTTTATAAAGGAAGGTAATATAGTCACCTAGGCCTAGAACTAAATTGAAGAACATTAGATTAGAAGCCTAATCCAACTTTAGAATAATGAGTCATATTTAGAATTCATAAGACAGTTCTGTACTTTCTTTATTAATCTGAATAAGAAGTACAATGTATAGAACAAGTTTGTGTCTCTGTAACAGGACAAACATTCTACTAATACCTTCTTTCAGGAGTTTAATATTCTAGCCTAGAAGGTAGGATTCATACTTAAGTTTAATAATGTTCTTATCAGAATACTTGAAAAAGCTCTTTACTCAGAACTAGTTAATAAGATTCTTAGGATAATACTAGAACTAGTTACTTATACTAAGTAGAAAACATACACTATCTCCTTTGACTAAGTTACAGCTCAGATGTATTAAGTTTGTACAGAACACTTGTATATGTGTTTAACTCTAACAGTTCTGAGTCCTTAAATTAATCTGTCTATAATTTATAATTAATCTGTTCTAATAGACATTAGAGAAGCCTAAAAGTAAGAAGTATACTTTACTTACAGAAAGTCAGGGCACTAGATTAAGAACTGTCTACAGAAGTAATAGTATATCTGTTAAGTTATTAGAGTAATAATAAATGACAAGTAGGATTTATAGTGAGAAGCCTTTTCTACAAATCTGAAAGTTACCTTAAAACTTTTAGACTCTAACTATATACTTTAGAATTTTATAAAGGCTTAATAGTGAATACAGTACTGAAGGGCTATAACTTGGATTTCTTAATAGTCACTTTTGATTTAATAGACACTGTAGGATTAAAAGTAAATAAAGTAAGAAAAGTAGAAAAAGTAGAAAAAATAGAAAAAATAAATTAATGAAATTATTTATTAGAAAGAAAAAAGTTGAAAACAAAAGTAGATAGTTCTCCTATTTCTTCTGATTCTTTTGATTCTTCTCTTTGTACTTTATCCAAGTCTAAATCTACACAATCTAACCTACTACTTCTGTGTTCTAAAATCTTAGAATGTTCAGAACACTACTTAGCCCTGTTTACTACTCAGTAGTTTGTTCATAGTATTAAGTAGGAATAGTCTCAGCTGAGTTTACAGTTAAGGACATAGGTCTGTCCTTGTTAAAAGAGAGAGGTTAATAAGGAAATGTTAGTATATATACTTACTCTCTTAGACAACAAAACTGTACAAGCTATATATTCCTTTCAGAACAAGTAGTAGTTTATCTGAGAATGTTCTGAGTACTAGCTCTAGATTCTTATCCTCTTAGCTCCCTTCTTAGAATCCTCCCAGATCTGAACAATAGCTCTAGTAGACAGTAAATACACTAGTTCATATATTAATAAGGTCTTCATGTAGAAACACTACCTTCCTACTTAATGTGTTCTACTTCTAATCCTAGTATATAATATAGACAGAACCCTGAACCAGAATAGTCAGATTACTGAGTTTGTTCAATTATAGATGACTATTCAGGATTATAAGGAAAGTATTGAGTTTAGAGTCACTAACCTTAGAAAGACAGACATCTTTATTAGATTCAAATAGTTTAAGACTTACAACCCTACTATTAACTAGTTAGAGTAGACACTCATGTTTAATTAGTGTTCTGAGTCTTATAACTATCTTATACTACTGTTCTAAGTAAATGTAAACACTTCTAATGTTACTAACAGTTCTAATAAAGGTAACTAGTTGTTCTTCTTCAACTAGGATAGATATGTGGATACATATTCTAGTCAAGGCAGAACAGAGTCAATCTAAAGAATGTCTGAGACAGAACTAGTCTAAAACCCTCTTAGAACAACTCTACTCTAGAATGTACATAGACCTAGCCTACTAGATTTTGTTTAAGAGTTCCCTAAAGTCTTTAGTAAAGAGGAATTCAACCAGCTTTCTAAACACTGTCTCTAGAACTATATAATTGAATTGACTAAGAGTTTCTAACTTAAGGATTGTAAGGTCTACCTACTCAATAGAAACAAGTAGGAGGTGCTTAATAAGTTCCTTTAGGAAAATCTTTAGAACAGTTAGATCCAACCCTTAAAGTTCTTTATAACCTCCCCTTTCTTCTTTGTTAAAAAGAAAGATAGAAAGCTCTACCTAGTCTAGAATTATTATTGTCTTAATGAGAGTACTATTAAAAACAAGTACTTACTCCCTCTGATTCAGGAGCTTATTAATAAAACACATACATTTAGAGTTTTTACTAAGTTAAATGTTTAATAGGGATACAACAATATTCAGATCTGAGACAGAGATAAGTAGAAGACTGTGTTCTAAACTAATTACAGATTGTACAAACTAACTATAATGTTCTTCAGACTAACCAACTTACTTATAACATTCTAGTTATTTATGAATCACATTCTTACAGATCTGATTGACTCAGAGTATGTTAGTGTGTATCTGGATAACATTCTAATCTTCACCCAGACAGTTGAGTACTATTACTAACTAATCTGAGTAGTTTTATAATAGCTCTAAGATAATAAACTGTTCCTCTAAGAAGTAAAGTACTCTTTTGTACAGGAGTCAGTAGATTATCTAGACTTTGTAATTAGTAGAGGAGAGGTCTGTATAGATCCAGTAAAGGTAACTGTAGTTTGGAACTGGTTACAACCTTAGAACCTGAAACAGGTCTAAGTATTCCTTAAGTTTGTAAACTACTACTAATACTTTATTTAAGACTTTAGTACTATTGCCTAGCCCCTTTACAATCTTACTAGTAAAGATGTTCCTTAGTAATAGGATGATTAGTAACAGTCTGTGTTTGAGTCTCTCAAGTAGGCTATTACTAGTAAGCCTGTATTAGTAGTTCTAACAATTGTAGACAAGTTCTGAGTTGAAGCCAACTCTTCCAACTTTATGAATAGAGTAGTACTGTCCTAGTTCATTAATAGAAAATAGTGTCTGATAGTATTCTAATCAGAATCCCTCTCTGTAACAGAACAGAACTACTCTATCTATAATAAGGAACTCCTTACAATTGTCTGTTCCCTAAAGGAGTAGTATTAATATCTTCTTAGTACTGTACAAAAGTTTAAGATTTAGAGTAATTACTTTAATCTCTAGTACTTTTAAGCACCTCAGAAGCTTAACTGCTACTAAGCCTGCTAGATGTTAGAACTGTAGAATTACAACTTTGTACTAACTTACAAACTCAGAACACAAATAATGAAAGCTGACTTACTCTTAAAACAAGTAAGTTATGAAAGGAGGGAGAATGATAATGAAAATCTTGTTCTCCTAGACAATTCCTGTTTCACATCTAAGACAATCTAAGAGATCCAACTTGAATCCAAGAATGTTAACTTTGTCACCTGTATATAGTAAGCTCTAAAACACACACAAGACTGAGTCATAATAAAGTAGCTAGAGAAGTAGGCTAGGGATTAGGAGGAGGATAAGGATAGACAGGTTTACTAGAAAGGCTGACTATACATTCTGAAGGATTAGAAACTGTAGGAGAATATTGTCTGAGCTTATTATAACAATCTGACTGTAGAACATTCAGGCTAACACAAAATGTAGAAACTCATTACTTAGAACTACTAGTAGTTAGGAATGTAGAGGGAAATCCTAAAGTATGTGACTGGTTGTAATACATACTAACAGACTAAAGCCTACTAGACAAAGGTTTAGACTCTCTTACATCTGTATTAGATTCTAGAGTGTAAGGATTTGATTTACTGGTTTGTATTTTATTATTACTACATTGCTGATCATGTCAGATCATTGTGCAGTGGGACCCACAAGCACATATATTCTCATTGTAGTTAGTTACACTTCCTCCTCATGTATCTACACGTGTATACCCCTATAAAAGACAGTATTGACCACTGGGTAAAGGGGATTCTTTTCCCCTGACCCCTCACTCGAGTACTAGGTTATCCCAGTCAGTAGTTGAGTGAACGAAGGGTGATTAGAATTCTCTTGTGAGGAACAGTGAGTTTCCTCACATATTTTTGACTGTACCCACCTAGCACCAAAACCCCTTGCTGGACGCTGAGGAACCAAAGGGTCTGATCAACCCTAGGTCTCCCTCATTGTCTAGTACCCATCAGAAATTTTTAGTGAGTAAAGTTACGATTTTCGAGTAGAAACAGAGACTACTTACTGGATTGGCCCCTAGTAGGTTCACAATGCTTCAGAACACTGTGGAACGCTTCTGGAACACATTATCACATATCAATATGGACCAGTGCTGGATATGCTGGAGGTTTGCATTGATCAGATGGGTCGAGGACCAGGCATCCGTGACAGTAAAAAGGAACAAACAGGTGTGCATCAAGTTTACAGGCAATGGACAACAAGATTATCCATTGAATATTGATTACAATGTGGCTGCTGAGCCTTGACAGACGATTCCCAGAGGGTACCCAAGTCCAGATATCAATACTAACATGCTAGGATGTAAGTCCTTGTCCCTTGTGGGCTGGAGGCAATCCAATAAACCTATACCAGGTGATAAGTCCTTGTCTACACAAGGCTGGAGGCACCCTGATGAACTAGTACATACTAATAACATAGAACTAAGGCATGTAACTGTACCAGCACATATAGTTAGTCAAATGTATACTGTAGAGCAGAAACCAGTGAGTACTCACACTACTGGGCTCAAAGAAATAGCAAACAAAGGTACAGAGAGCAGAAACACTCAGGCAATTGTTCTTAAGGATTCAGACAGTTGAGTTCAGGATGAACAGGCGATTAGATTCGAGGATTTGTCCAATCAAGTACAGAAGGTTGAGTTTGAGGATTCAACTCACTGAGTACAGGTGATTGAGCTTGAGGATTTGCTCGATCAATTTCAGGCTACCAAGTTTGAGGATTCACTCAATAGAGGACAGGCAATTTGGTTTGAGGATTCACTAAGTCAATATAGAGAGCTAACAGCAAGCATTGAGGAATTTGCAAGCCAGTACAAGAGTTACAGAGTACATATAGTCAGTATCAGTGAGAGTGTGGATAAGTATCTAGTGAGCACACTTACTTCAGAACAGAAACACATCAACAACAGTAATGTAGAGGGCAATGAGACACCTAAGACCCTTTTAGGCAGCAAAGAAAGTAGCCAGGACTCAGAACACAAGAGTAACAAAGGCCAGGAGAGCCAGGCATCAAAACCACAGAGATTCAATGAGGAACAAGACTTCCAGAAGGCAAGTAAGACCTTCAGACACATTGCAAGAGCCAGAGCAATTGAGATAGACATAGGACATGTCAGCCCATTCCACAGTTTGATAGACATCAACAATTTGAATAAGAGAATGTACAAGTTTGATGGAATGTATCAGGAAGAGGAGAAAGCAACTCCTTCATTAAACAAGAGCAGACTCAATAGTATAGTAACAGAAAAGCATGAAACGCTTCAGACAGGCTACAGAACGAAAGCCAGACATGCTATAGTACCAACAGACAGTAGAGATCAGAACTATTGATACAAGAGTGTAGAAGAAACACTCAAGAGTCCAGACAAACGATTGCATTTGCAGAAAGCAAAAGGAAAGTGCAAAGCAAAAGGAAAACACAAAGCACAAGGAACAGAACGAAAACCAGAACTGCCAGGCATTCAATACGATTGTGAAATTGATTCAGACTATCCAAGCAAAACAGACATTGCATTTACAGAACAGTACTTTGAGGATAGCAAAAGTGAATGCAAATTGGAACTACAAGGATCAGTACTTGATCCAGAGGGTGAAAACCAAGCATACACTCACGAAATTGAGTGTTTAACCTTATACATGGCAGATATCGACTACACATTGTACAGGAGCAATGTACATGAGTACTACAATGGATACGACACTCTAGCCAGGTCCAGGAATAAGAGAGAAAGTGAAATACCTGGATATATACAGTCTCAAATAGAAATACCAAGTTTTTCAGGACATTAGAGTATCCCTTGCGAAAATAAAAGGAACAAACAATCCCATAGTGATACTTTGCGATTGAAAGCAGTCCCAGGCAAGGCATACACTAGTAGTATTAGTGAGAACAATATCGATTCAGAGTGCAGCAAACTATACAGTTCAAAGCCACATATCAAGCACAGTAAGCACAAGAATAGCTCTAGCAGTAGTTCAAGAACAAACAATGGACACAGGCATAGTGAAGCACTGAATAATGTTCAGAAAGGCAGATTTGCATCAGTAAGACCTTCAGAGAGCCTAGCAAAGAATAGCTATGCATACAGAGTGATACAGAGCTCCAGGATACAGAGAAATGGAAATTTCGACCCAGGATCAGACTCAGATAGTGATAATTCGGATTCCTCTTCATCCAATGACTACAATTGAAGTAATGCTTTATTCAAACTGTCAGACATTGATTTGAGTGATACAGAGGCTACTAAGAAGTGCAAGAAACGCTTGAGGAAGAAACAGAATAAAGAACTCCTCAAATTGAAGTATACAATGACATTTTATGCTCGAAAGCACAGGCATACAGTGCAGAAAGGATTCTACAAGACTACAGATACGTATACATGGACATTTCAGAGACACTACTACCAATTCTTAGAGCCACAAATTGAAACAACACTCTTAAGAAATACAGGATGTTCACAGACAACAGGAATGCGTACTAGGACATTAGGAAAGGACCTGAGAATGTTAGAAGATCAGAATATAACCAGCCAGATAGTATTATGGTTTACAACATGATGCAAATAGTAAACTGTGCAAGCAGGACAATCTATCAAGCATTACTGGACTATAAACTACAACTACTCTTGGATACTGAGAAATATTTTAATCTAAACGATTCAGACAGGTATTCTATTAAGTTAGAAGGCTACATCATACATTGGAAGACAGACATTAGCACATTGAGCAAGGCAAAGTGTATATACATCAGGAATAAGATGATACCACTCCAGAATAAGCATCAGGCATGGAGATACATTGACAGTGATAGAAAGACACAGACATACATATACACAGTCAATTCTATTCAGTACAGGAAGGTATTCAAAAGCAAAGAACCACTTCAGACAATTTCAGGACTAGGAGAATGTTCAGACATTCAGGAATATTGATTCTACAACATCAGAACAGACATTTTCATCTTCAGGATTGAAGAAACAGTCTATAATGAGTATGATTGAAGTAATTCACATAGAACACTGTTCTATAAGGTACAATTGGATGTTATGCTACGAAACTATTCAGTTTATGACAAAGAATTGTTCAGAAACATCAGAACCAGCTCAGACTACAAGGATATATTGTACAGAACACAGTTTCAGGAGAACATAAGGTATTACATTGTGAAATACACCTTCAGACAGTCAGGATTCATTAGAATAGACTCAGGATACTTTATTAGACATATTATGAACATTGCAGGCACTCAAATGGATGCACTAGCGTGCATATACTCAGGATACATAGTAAGAATCAAGATATTCAAGCTACAGGATGACAATTACAATCTACAGGATGTAAAACAGTTACGATCTATGTACTACAATGATAGTAAGACACTACTGAGATCAGGAACGGATACACATTGTATGGAACAAAGTACAGAAGTTCAGAGGGTGACTTCAAGCTAGAGAACAGGTTCAGAACCTAGACAATCTGCTCAATCTGCTCAATCTGCTTAAACAGATTATCACACTGCTTCAAGGGAAAGCAAAGGCAATACACATACAGCCAGCAAAGATCAGAGCAATAGTGAATTAGGAATGATTGAACAGACTATTCAAGTATTCAGGCATGATACTTCAATGCTACAGAAGGAAACAGAGCATCAGGATGCTCCAGGACATCTATTGAACAATGATACAGTTCAATCTACTCTAGGAATGAGTAGTTACAATCAGTTTGAAGTATGAAATCATGCAGAAGACCTCTCCAGACACTACAGATATGTTCTAGGACAGTACCAGACGTCTTACACTGAAAATGAAGTCATATTTCGACGAGAGGGTGAGAGGCACATGCATTGTATTGCATACACACTCTTTGAGCATACAATCATGTTTAAACATACATTTCTCTTACATGGATTGTTACAAAACGATTTTGCGAAGGACTTTGCAGGACCAGACAGTATCAGTACTACAGGAAACAGGACACATGATAGGTACACAAGGAAAGAATACATTGGAACAAGGACAAGGACACAGAAAGACAGGAAGTCAGCACTAGAGTGTATTGATCCACACATGGATTTGCCAAATGAACAGAAAATTGGCAGCATACACTCAGGACTTCAGGCAGTGCTACTGTGCATACAGACAGGACATTTCATTGAGACATACATGGAACAACATAGCATACAGACAGTTACAGCATTCAGGAAAGTAGAGAATGCTACTTGGACACAGTGTGATAGAACATCACACCATGAGACATTGAAAGTATACTCAGACGATTCAGGAATCGAATCAATCGACTTACAAAGACACGAACGAGTTGAGACACAAGGAAACAGTATGAGAATACAGTAGGACATTCATTGTGCACAGAGATACCATGCATATACACACATATCTAGTGATATTAGGCTCATACCTTACAATCTTATTGAATTTGAGACAATATTTTCATTCAAGGATGAATATTACACTCTAGGTTGTACTCTGCAATTAGTATTTGGACATTAGGCTCAACAGGATATCCAGTTTTGCATCACAGTTGGTTATTGCATGCAAAGGAGTACACATTTGGACATATTCTATCAATATGAGTGCAAGGCATTACATTTGCAGGAACTAGTCTATTGGAAAAATCAAGGACATAGTAGAGGAATTTCAGAATACATCTCCACTACATGTTATTGTATGACTATCCTACAGGAGTAGAGAAACGTGCAAGGTCAGCTAGAAGCCACAACACTAATACATTCTATTGAGGAAGAAGGCTATAGCTTTGTTGATCAGGGATTTACCTCTGTGCTTCCTGAAGACGTAGGAGAAGAGAATATTTGCAATTACCATGCTGCCAGAATTTCCACTTCTGTACATATCAGTCTACACTGTGTGTCTCAGAATACTCAAGAGCCAAAACACCATATCTCCCCAGGAACTCTACTGATTCCCTTCGAAAAGTGTTGTATCAATAGCAACAATCAAGAGGCAACTTTTCTACTATTTGACTATACAGTAATATGGACTATGTTTAATTCTATTAATGGTTTATCTAGTTTCACATGGTTTGGAACTATGCTACCCACTGTCCAGAACACCACCACTGTCTCAATACACACTGGATTGACTTCAGATCAGTTCAGAGAGGCAGTAATACATCACAAGGATGTTTCCCATATGTATGGGCAAAGTATTTTATTATTTACTTGTTACTAATTGTTACTTTTAAGTAAGTTTTCTGCCTTTTCTACTGATTTTTAGTATTTAGGACTAAATGCTAGAGGGCAAGTGTAAGGATTTGATTTACTGGTTTGTATTTTATTATTACTACATTGCTGATTGTGTCAGATCATTGTACAGTAGGACCCACAAGCACATATATTCTCATTGTAGTTAGTTACACTTCCTCCTCATGTATCTACATGTGTATACCCCTATAAAAGACAGTATTGACTGCTGGGTAAAGGGGATTCTTTTCCCCTAACCCCTCACTCGAGTACTAGGTTATCCCAGTCAGTAGTTGAGTGAACAAAGGGTGATTAGAATTCTCTTGTGAGGAACAGTGAGTTTCCTCACATAGATCACTCTTAGGAAGAAGTCTTAGTAGACCTGATTAGTGAGCTACCTAAGTCTTAAGGTTACAACACTATCTGTGTGATTGTTAACTGATTCTCTAAACAAGTCTACACAGTTCCAACCTGAACAGAACTTACTTTTAAAAGTATAGTGTGTATCTATCAGGATTATGTCTTCTAGTTGTACAGACTCTCTCAAAAGCTTATTCACAATTGTAGACTATAATTTGAGTTAAAATTCATACAGGACTTGTATGTACTTCTTAGAATTTAAGGGAACCCTTCTACTATATATTACCTACAGACTAACAGTCAAACTGAGTGAGTCAATCAAGAGATTAAGCTCTACCTTCAGATGTTTATTAATCATTAGTAATTGGATTAGTCTGAATAGTTAGCTCTAGCAGAATTTGTACACAATAACTAGTAACACTCTACAACAGGACAATCCCTATTCTTCCTTAATTATGAGAGACATTTATACTAGGAGACAGTTCTAAACTAGAACAGTAGTTCTGAATCTGTAACAGACTTTGTAAAACAGATACACAGAACTAGGGAGAACACACAAGCTCTTTTAGAGAAGATAGTATAGGTTATAAAGTAGAACTATAATTAGAAGAGGTTTGTAGCTAAGAATTACTAGTTTAGTAACAAGGTTATGCTAGAAGCTACTAATCTAACCTTAGATTGTCTAATAAAGAAGTTAGACAATAAGCACTTTGAACCCTTTGTTATTAAAAAGAAGGTTAGTACCTCTGTCTACAAACTTTAACTTCTAGTAACATAGAAGTGTATACACCTAGTGTTTAATAAGGTTCTATTGTCTTAGTACTATAATCCTAGTTTTCCTTTATAACAAAGACTCCCTCTATCTCTACTAGAACTTATTAGCTCTAAACCAGAATATGAAATAGAGTATATAGTAAATACTAAGCTACTATATAGAAAACTCAAATTCCTTGTTTACTAGAAAGGGTACCTAGTTGAGGAGCACACTTAGGAACCTACTAAGAATCTTACTTATACTTTTAAGACAATCTGAGATTTCTATCAGCTTTATCCTAGTACTCTGTACAAACTCAGTCTTACAGATTTTTAAGCCCTATCATTCTAACCTATGTCTAAACTACTAACTAAGCTCTATATTTACTAATTAGGACAATTAGTTTTAGAGAGAGGGTAATATTATAATTCTCTACTTTTATACCTTTAGTTCTAAGAGTTCTACACTCTTTTGTACTAGAACTCAGGACTTCTGTCTCTTAAAGGTACTGTTTATAAACTATATGTGTACTAACTCTTACTACTACCCTTCCTTACTTTATTATTCTATTCCTTTAACTACCCCTTTATTCTTTGTTTATTCTATAGTCTCTTACCCTTTGTCTATCCTTTTATTCTTTATACCTTTATCTTTAACATTCTCTTTCTTTCATTCTTTATAGTTTATCATTCTTAGTAGCTTATACTTCCTGAGTACTCTTGTATAGTTTAGTATATATAGGTATACAAGATTAGACTAGTCCTGTAGTTTTGATCTTATTTACTCTAAGTAGTCCTGTACTCTTAGGCTTACTCTATATACTCTACTCTTGTCTTACTCTCTCTCCCTACCTGTTCTACAAGTTCTAACTATGTTCTAGTACTTGTATTCTGTATTTCTGTTGTGTAGGATAGTTGTAACCTAGGTCCCCTTACTAAGCCTTTAGATCCCCTCTATACTATTACTAACAGTTAGAGAAGTAGGTTAGAGACTAGAAAAAGAATAAGAATAAACAAGTTTACTAAGAAGACTAACTATATGTTTTAAAAGATTAGAAGCTGTAAAAGGACATTGTTTAAGCTTATTACAATAATCTGACTATAGAACATTTAGACTAACACAAAATGTAGGAACTTATTACTTAGAACTACTAGTAGTTAAGAATGTAGAGAGAAATCCTAAAGTATATAACTAGTTATAATATGTACTAACAAACTAAGACTTACTAGACAAGGGTTTAGACTCTTTTACATTTGTATTAGATTCTAGATTACTCTTAGGAAGAAGTCTTAATAGACCTGATTAGTAAGCTACCTAAGTCTTAGAGTTATAAAACTATTTGTATAATTGTTAACTGATTCTCTAAGCAAGTCTATACAGTTCTGACTCAAACAGAACTCACTTTCAAAAGTATAGTGTATATTTATTAGGATTATGTTTTCTAGTTGTATAGACTCTCTTAAAAGCTTATTCACAATTGTAGACTGTAATTTGAGTCAAAATTCATACAGGACTTGTATACACTTTTTAGAATTTAAGAGAATCCTTTTACTACATATTACTTACAAACTAATAGTTAAACTAAGTAAGTTAATCAGAAGATTAAACTCTATCTCTAAATGTTTATTAATTATTAGTAGTCAGACTAGTCTAAATAGTTAGCTCTAATAGAATTTGTGTATAATAACTAGTAACACTTTATAACAGGACAGTCTCTATTCTTTCTTAACTATGAGAGACATCTGTACTAGAGGACAGTTCTGAACCAGAATAGTAGTTATGAATCTATAACAGACTTTGTAGAATGAATGTATAAGACTAGAGAGAATATACAAGCTCTTTTAAAAAAGGTAGTATAAGTTATAAAGTAGAACTATAATTGGAAGAGGTCTGTAACTAAGGATTACTAGCCTAGTAACAAAGTTATACTAGAAGCTACTAATCTGACTACAGATTACCTAATAAAGAAGTTGGACAATAAGTACTTTAAACCCTTTATTATTAAAAAGAAGGTTAGTATCTCTATTTACAAACTCTAACTTCTAACAATATAGAAGTACATACACTCAGTATTTAACAAGGTTCTATTATCTTAGTATTATGATCCAGGTTTTCCTTTATAATAAAGACTCCTACTACCTCTACTAGAACTTATTAGTTCTAAACTAGAATACAAAGTAGAGTATATAGTAGATACTAAGCTAGTATATAGAAAACTCAAGTTTCTTGTTTACTAGAAAGGGTACCTAGTTGAAGAGTGTACTTAGGAACCTGCTAAGAACCTTACCTATACTCTTAAAACAATCCAAGACTTCTATCAGCTTTATCCTAGTACTCTACACAAACTCAGTCTTATAGATTTCTAAGCTCTACTATTCTGACTCATACTCAAGCTACTAACTAAGTCTAATGTTTACTAATCAGAATGATTGGTTTTAGAGGAAGGGTGATGTTACAGTTCTCTACTCTCATACCTTCAGTTCTAAGGGTTCTACACCCTTCTGTACTAGAACTCAGAACTTCTGTCTCTCAGAAGTACTGTTTATAAACTATATACAGGCTGACTCTTACTATTACCCTTCCTTACTTTATCATTCTGTTTCTTTAACTACTCTTTCATTCTTTGTTCATTCTATAGTCTCTTACCCTTTGTTCATCCCTTCATTCCTTGTACCTTTATCTTTAACCTCAGGCTTCCTTTCTTTCATTCTTCATGGCTCATTATTCTTAGTAGCTCATATTCTCTAAGTACTCTTGTATAGTTTAGTATATATAGGTGTACAAGATCAGACTGGTCTAGTAGTCTTAATCTTGTCTACTTCAGGTAGTCCTATACTCTTAGGCTCACTCTATACACTCTACTCTTGTCTCTCTCTCTCTCTACATCTGTTCTACAAGTTCTAACTATGTTCTAGTACTCACATTCTGTATTTCTGTTGTGTAGGATAGTTGTAGCCTGGGTCCCCTCACCAAGCCTTCAGGTTCCCTCTACACTGTTACTGACACATATTGTATATGGGTCCTACTAACCCAGTTTATACCTGTAATTATATGTGTGTATGTGTATACATGGGAAATTTTACACATGTAAGCATATATGCTACACACAGAGCACTACTCTCAACATCCCAGACTATAACAGTCTTGTCAGCTGATCCAGAGGTAATACACATACTATCCAGCAAGAATGCAACTAAATAGACATGGCCTGTATGTCCTTCCATAGGCCCAGAAATCATCTGCCCATTCTCAACATCCAAAATCCTTATTGACTTGTCGTTAGAACCGGAAACAACGCGCGCGCCATCGGGTGAGAAAGCAACAGACTGTATGTAACCTTTGTGCCCTTTAAATGGACCGAAAATGGCTCGCCCAATTTCAGCATCCCAAATTCGAATTGTACGATCATAGGAACCAGAAGCAACACGAGTGCTGTCGGGTGAGAATGCAACAGAGTAGACATATCCCCTATGCCCTGCAAGCTTCTTCAAGAGTGGCGACCGCTGCTTTACACCTATCTGCTCTACTTGTACAATAGGTAGATCAGGCTTCAAGTAACGTACTATAAAATTCGACTCCTTCGATGCAAACAGAAGGAAAGAGACGTATATATGCGGTGTCGATCGTGAAATGGTGGGCATATATACAGTAATCAATGATCATCCTACGTGCATCCCTCAGGAATGACAAAACATCGGCGTTGTGTGACTAGTTGAAGTATAATATTAGTTTCATTTCAATCCAATAATACGCTTGCTTACTCACCGAGACCCAATTCATTGCATGAAGGAGTGCTGGGCCAGCAATATTGACCTTTTCCAAAAGGCTCATCACCTCGAGCCAATAAAGTAAATGTTCGTCGAGGAACTCAGATAGCTCATCCAACAACACGTGTGAGAATGGTGTCTCGAGTAAGTGTTGGCTCCAGAACAGACACGTGTACTCCAAGTGAGAAGGAATGCTTGCCTTGATTCGATCTGGAAGGTCAGGGATCTGTTCATTAGGGATATACGACGACGCTATGCTGCAGATGTTAAACTGCAGTATGCCCCTCATGACATCGAAGCATCGCAAGGCAATCAACTTCTTTTGAGTCTCAATGTCAATGAACCACGGGTCGCTTTCACGCCCTGCTGACACTAAGTAATCGTGGAAAGATGTGTGACAGAAATGGATGGGTTCTCCCCGAGTGAATACAAGGACGGATTGTAAACGAGACAGGATTAGCCTCGATGGCTCGTCATTCAGAAATCCCAGAAGCCCGTCAATGGTGTCATCAGTGAGCTGACTCCTGCTCAGAAGAATAAGACCAACCACTTGCGAAAATCGAACCTGGGATGATTCATCGTCAAATGAAATACCAGAAGTCATAAGCACAGAGTCATAAAGTTGCTCGAGACCAGTCAGATGCTGCGAATCAGATACAAGATTCTTCAGCTTCGGGGCCGGATTATCGCAATCCACCAGTTTCACCGCTGTCGAAGCCCAGATGAACAGCCCTGCTGCAGCTGTTGCAAGACGGTCTATTTTCCATTGCCAATCATCCGGGATCGGCAAATCTCGAACACGTTGCACATTGAGCGCTCGAGATAGTGAAGCACGTCTTCTCTACAGTGTTCCGATCCGTGTTCAAGTTCAACGGTGAGAATACGGTGAGGTCGACCAGAGAATGCCCGATTGATGTCCGGTTCCTTCCTGCTCGTAATCAGGAACCGAAAATTCTTTGGGAGCTCCGGTAGGGCTTTCCAGAAACTCTCCATTAAGCTCCGCCTTGTCTTTTCCGTGCCGCATTCATCCAACGCGTCGAGAACAATCACAACAGGTCCTTGCATAGCATCCCCAGATAGAGTAAGCAGACCGCAAAGCAGGTTCTCAAACTGTGTTGTTGACGTGGCCTGTGCAATATCGCCATCCTGCTTACTGCCTTTTTCATAGGTATTGTCACACTTGATGATTCATCATTTTTTGTCACAAAAGTAAACAAAACAAAAAAATAGCTATTTCTCACTCAATTCTGTACAGAATTCAGTGATTATTTGACATTAATTCATGTTTTTTAAATATGCTTCAAATAGACACTTTAATTATTAAATTTGAGCAAGATTTGACTGAGTTATAGTGAAAATACACTGTTTTTCATGTTTTCTTAATATTTGAATTTTCATTCCTTCAAAACTCAACATATATGTACTTGTTCTGTTTGACTGAGGAGAGACTAAAATGTGTAAAACTAACTATTTCCCTCAGTTCCTTCTACACTCAATAAATTTTTTCAGCTCAAACTGTATTCCTAAAT